TCCTTCTTTTCCTAAGGAAAATCCTAGAAAAAGGATCACAGATCCTCCTGCTTTTTTATTTATTATTATTTTTATGCCAGGTTTGAACTCTAGTTTTCTTTATCCACATCTAGAATTCTATCTCTTGTGCCATCTTGCTGCTTCTATGTTTTATAGATATCAAAAGAAAATATATCCAAAATTTGAGAATATGGGGGTGTTATCAGCAGTACACTTGGTCTGGATAAATATTACTATACTTTGAAGTTTCAACAAATTATACAATTCTGTTCACTTAATGAACAAGTATTGCATATCTACTATGCACAAAGCATTATACTAGGCTTTGGGAATTTAAAAAAAAATCAGTAGTCTCTGCCCCAAGAAGATTTTTATTTACTAGGAAGACTTGATATATACAAAAGTAAGTAAAAATAAGGTAGAGTGTTATGATGACAACAAAGGAGAGATTCCGACAAAGTACAAAGTTGGAGGAAGATAGAACATCTTCAGTTAAGGGGATCAGGGAAGCCTCCGTGGATGAGGTGTGGTGCCTGAGCTGAGCCTTGAAAGAAGAGAGGAATTTTCGTAAGAGGAGGGAGTATAGGAACAACTTCAATAAACTTGTAACCAAACAAAAAACCAAAAAAGAAAGGGTTGGCAGTATATGTAATGGAGAAAATCTAGAGGCCTTTCCATTAAGATCTGGTATGAAGCATGTGTATCCATTATTACCAGTATTATGTGATAACAGTAAGAGAAGAAAAAAGAAATTAAAAGGGTACACAAAAAGGAAGTAAAACTACTGCTTTTTATAGATGATATAATCAGTTTAGAGAACCCTAAAGATTCAATTAAAAATTAATTGAAACAATAACTTAAGCAAAGTTATAGTATATAAAATAAACCTATGTAAATCATCAGTATGATTACTAACTCTGTGTATTTCCTTTTATTCCATTATCTTCTGTTTCTTTCTCTGTCTTTTTCTCTTGTCCTTCCTCAACTGCCTGCCTTAATCTATCCTCTCCTTTATCATTCTCTCTCTTTCTTTTGTCCTCTTCCACTCCTACTTCCTATTGGGTTAGGTACATTTCCATACACAACTGAATGTGTATATATATTCTTCCTTTGTTTGAACCAATTCCAATGAGAGTGAGGTTCAAGCATTGCCTGCCAACCCCTATCCATTGTAAAAGTTCTTCCTTGTACCTCTTTTATGTGAGAAAATTGCCTTTCCCCAGAGAACCTCTTTTTTACCCCCTTATTCTGGAGAGCATTCCAACATAGTCAGCAACACCCATGCCCACTGTCTATGTAAACTCCTTTTAACTGCCTTCATAATGATAAAGTTCTTGGGAGTTACATGTATCATCTTCCCATATAGGAATGTAACTGAGTCTCTTATGATTACACTTTCATGTTTATCTTTTTATACTTCTCTTGAGTCTTCTGTTTGAATGTCAGATTTTCTGTTCCCGAAGCTTACTGCTATTGCTACCTCCGTAGCCTGTGTGTGTTCCAGACTGACCTTCACCTGACCTCCACCCTTATATACATTTCTTCTGTCTACCTCTTAAATTTTCTTAGGCCAGAAAAACATCTCACCCAACTTTGTTGGCTCTGCTGCTCCAAAATTTCATTTGAGGCATTATCTTAAAATTGTTTGGAAGGGAATATTGAGAGGATTCAGCTGGGTGACTGCCATTGCTCTGCCAGTTTGGTTCCACCCAAGAGCATGGATTCTTAACCTTTTTTTGTATTATGTACTCCTTTGGTGATCTGGTGAAACCTATGGACCAATTCTCAGAATAATATTTTAAAGTGCATAACATAAAATACAGAGGATTACAAGGAAAACTAATTATAATGAAATTCAATTTATCATATTTTATAAAACAATGCATGTACCCCCTGGAATCTATCTATAGATGTCTTAGGGATTTATGAATCTTAGTTTATGAACTCTGGTATAGAGAAAGGAAAGAAGGGTACCCAGAACAGATCCTTGGGGAATACCCCCAGTTAGTGGGAATGACATGGATGAAGATCCAGAAAAGGAAAGTGGAAAGAGCAGTAAGAAATGTAGGAGGGGAACCAGGGGGGAACATAAAGTGAACAATTTAATTGCTTAAATTCAAACTCTTCTGCACAAGGGGAACAGTTAACTGAGAAAAAAATCTTTGCAGCAAATTTCTCTGATAAAGGTCTGATATCCCAGATATATAGGGAACCAATTCTAATATATAATAGCAAGAGCCATTCCCAATAGATAAATGATCAAAGGATATGAATAGATAGTTCTCAAGGGATGAAAGCCAAGCTATCAACAACAATATGCAAAAATGTTCCAGATCACTAATAATAAGAGAATTGTAAATTAAAACATCTCTAAGAGTTCCTTCTCATAACCGTCACACTGACAAACATGACAAAAATGGAGAGAATGTGAGAGAATAAATATACTAATACATTGTTGTTAGAACTATGAAGCAGTCCAGCTACTCTGAAGAGCAGTTTGAAACTATATCCCCAAAGTCACTAAAAAGTATATACCCTTTGACCCAGTGATATCACTACTAGACCTAACCTCAAAGAGATCAAAGACAAAAGGGAAGACCACATATGGGCAAAAGTATTTGTAACAGTCATGTTTGTTGTAGAAAACTTGAAAATAAGAGAGGGCCCATCAATTTGGGAATGGCTGGAAACATGATATATGAATGTAATGGAATACTGTTGCATAGTAAAAAATGACAAAAGGGAAGGATTCAGAGAAACATGGAAAGACTTATATGAGTGGATGCAGAGTGAAATTAACAGAATCAGGAGAACAATTTATATAATGATTTCAACACTGTAAAGAAAAATAACCTTGAAAAGATTTAAGAACTCTAATCAGCACAATGACAAGCCACATCTCCAGAAGACTGGCCATGAAGTATGCTACTCACTTCCTGACAGAATGAAGATGGACCTGAGAGGTAGAAGGAATGGTGCGTTTTTGGACATGGCTACTGTGGAAAGAAGGAAGGAAACAAGTATTTATTAAGCACCCACTATGTGCCAGGGCAGCTGGGTGGTGCAGTGGATAGAACACTGGGCCTGGAGTCAAGAAGACCTGCATTCAAATGTGACCTCACACTAGCTGTGTGACCCTGGGCAAGTCACTTAACCCTGTTTGCCTCAGTTTCCTCATCTGTAAAATGAGCTGGAGAAGAAAATGGCAAACCCTATAGTATCTTTGACAAGAAAACTCCAAATCAGGTTACAAAGAGTTGGACATGACTGAAATGACTGAACAGCAACATTATGTCAGGCACTGAGCCAATCACTTTACAAATATCTCATTTGATACTCCCCATGACCCTGCAGGTACCCATTTTGTAGTTGAGTGAAGTGAGGTTGACTGAGATTAAGTGATACCAGGTCACACAACTGGTAAGTGTCTGAGACCAGAAGTGAACTCAGGTTTTCCTGACTCCAGGTCCAGCACTCTATCCATAGAATCGTCGCCTTTTTTTTCCCTTTAGGGCAGGGACTATCTTTCTTTTTGCTTGTATTTATATATAAATACACCTGTGGAAGCAGCAAGTAACCGAACCAAAGAAATCAAACCTGTTAAATCAAAATTTTATTTGAAGGAAAGAAGTAAACAAGCATCTGTTAGGTGCTTATTATATGCCAAACATTGTTCTAAGTACTTTACAAATATTAACTCATTTGGTCCTCACTACAACCCCTGAGAGGTAAGTGTGAAAAAAATGCTCTAAATTACTATTGATTAGAGAAAGTCAAATTAAACCAACTCTGAGATACTACCTCACACCTATCAGATTGACTGATATGACAAAAAACGAAAATGATACATGTTGGAGGAAATGTGGAAAAACTGGGACACTAATGCACTCTTGGTGGAATTGTGAGCTGATCCAACCATTCTGGAAAGCAGTTTGAAACTATGTCCAAAGGGCTTTCAAACTGTGCATACACTTTGATCCAACAATAGCTCTGCTAGGTTTATATCCCAAAGACATAAAAAAAGGGAAAAGGACCTATTTGCAAAAAAAAAAAATATTTACAGCAGCATTTTTTTTTTTTGTGGCGGCTAAGACATGAAAATCAAGAGGATGCCCATCAGTTGGGGAATGGCTAAATAAACTGTGATATATGATTGTGGTGGAATACTATTGTGCTATAAAAAATTACAAGCAACATGATTTTAGAAAAACCTGGAAAGGCTTATATGAATTGATGGCAAAGTAAAGTGAGCAATGCTGTATGATGAAGAACTGTGAATGACTTAGCTATTTTCAGCAACGCAGTGATCCAGTATAATCCCAAAGAACTCATGATGAAGTATTCTTTCCATCTCCAGAGAAAGAACTAATACTGTCTGAATATAGACTGAAGCATGCTATTTTTCACCCTTTAATTCTTTTTTAAAAATTCAGGTCTTCTTATACAAAGCAAATAATATAGAAATGTTTTACGTGATTGAATATGTATAAACTATATCAGATTGTTTACCATCTCAGGGAGAGGGAAGGGGAAGGGAGGTAGGGAGGAACAGAACTAGGAAATCAAAACTTTTTTAAAAATGTTAAAAATTGTTTTAACATGTATTTGGGGAAAAAGATAAAATATTTTATTAAAAAAAGGAAAAAAGAGAAGAGTAGACTTGGGGGAGATATGATAAAGTCTTCAAATATGCAAAGGACTGTCACATAGACAAAAACACTTTCATTTTTGTTTTAGTATCCCAGGTGACTAACTCTATGTCTGTAATGTAATAGATGCTTAATAAATGGTTGTTAATTTGATCAGAAAAAAATATGTATGATGTACACATTTACATTTCTTAATATAAAAAGAATCCTGGGCTTATTTATACTAGTTACATTTGGGAATTCTTTCCCTTTAATATCTTCAAAGCACTAGTGCTTTTGTAATGTGCTTGATTGTAAAATGCAATGAATAAAAAAATTTTAATGTCATATTTGTTAATATTCTTCTTGAAGGAAACAGTGCAAGAACTATATTTTCTGAGACGTTAAAAGATGATTGTGTTCCTGCTCCTCGATCCATTGGCAATATTAAAATCCAGTTTACCCCTCGAGTTTTCCCAACTGCTCTCAGAGAATCTCAAGTAGCAGAAGAAGAAGAGGTAGAGATAACTGTCATTGTCTGTGTTGACCATTACCATCAGAGAAAATGTTTCGTAAATAACTTATTTCAACCATTTATCAGAATTCTACTACTACTGAGTTTCTTAGGTTTTCACTAAACCAAAGAAATTACTGTTTATTAATGATTGTTAATGATAGGGGTAAATAGAATTTGTAGATTCTTGGCACTAGAGTGCTAGTGACATAATATTCTATTTCCACTACTTCATGTTATTTAAAAAGGCAAATTGGTCATGTTTACTACTTATTTTACTAAGTGTTGGTTTTGCATCGTATCTATGATGAGCTCTTGGTAGGTAGGTTAAAGTTGGTAATAATGCATATTTCATTTTTTTGTCATCTCAGAAATAATATAACTGTACTTTCTCAGAAAACCCTGAGCCTTGCTTTAAGATTTCTGATCTATAATTATACAAGCAGAAAGGCTTGCATTTAAAAATTTTTGTTTTTAAAGTAGATACTTATGCAATTTGATTAGGAACAATTTTAGATTCCTAATAAAGGTTGAAAACTAGACTCAATTATGATAACATTTCTAAATCTCAATCAGTAATATTTGTAAAAAAATATTATTTTGGGGTAGAAGAATGAAATGTTAACACCATCACCATCAGATAATATTTATTAGGAGGAAAAGGGAAAATCTGAAAGGAATTGTTAATGAAACCAAAATATGAGTATTGTTCACAAGATTTATTTCTTATCACAGTGGTTACAGAAACAGGCAGAGGCACGAAGAATAATGAATGAAGATATTCCTGAACTCCATGATTTAAAAGAAGAGGAAAAGAATCCAGAGTGGTTGAAGGACAAAGGAAAGTAAGTTTGAACTCTCTTTGAAAAATTTAAAATAATTTCTTGAAGATCTTGCATAATATTTTCTGGTTAATTAAATACTTTGATTCCTAGTTAAGAGGAGAAACTCTATAGTATATGCAAAAAATAGAGACCTTTGTAGAATTATGTAGTTTAAGTAGTTTCTCTAATAATTGGTATTTATCTGTGCTTCAGTTCTTCAGTCAACAAGCATTTTTTAAGAGCCCATAATGTCCCAGGCACTGTGGATACAAAGAAAAAAATTGAATAGTCCCTGCCCTTGAGAAAATTCTTTTCTATCGACCTTAACCAATGCCATCGGTACAAGTGGCCCCAAACCCATGTGTATGACTATCCTAGAATCTCTCATCAAGAGCAGCTCCACTCTATCTTCCTAGAAGAGTTACATTATATGTAGCATTTGTGCCTAAAAGATGTCAGGTTATTTACATGAGTTTTATTTATGATGTTGCCTTTTTAAAATTATTATTATAAACAACATCTGTGGACAAACACAAATTTTAATAAATAAGAACAAAAAAGATTATGAAACAGTCGTATTTGAAACCATACACTTCTTTTGTTTATGGTTTAATTTTTAAAATATGCACATTAACTTGAACAAGATGTCCACTTCTGAACTTTTTTTCTGTATATTCAACAGTTTTTGTTGTTGCTATGGATTGGTTGACGGAAAAGAAAAGAGCGTATGTGTTATATTTAGGTTCAGAACTATTAGGGTCACATATTTGTTGTATTTTGCATCATGCAGTTGGAATGGTTTTCTGGACCAGTGGTGTGAAACGCCAATAGAAATAGGGAGGAGTATGGGACGCATAATAACTTTGGGAACCACATATTAATATTACCTGTGTTATATTTTTATTTATTTTGTTAAACATTTTCCAATTATAATTTTATGTGCTTCAGCTGCACTGAGGAATGTTGCACAGGCCTCGTGTTTTGACACCTCAGTTCTAAACCATGTAGTCAAAGAGCTCTTAGTAATAGACATGACCTGGGAGTTTTTAGGCTTTCTCAAGAGGAATCTAGGCAGTAATTTCTATTTTAGTGTCTGTGTATAAAATGTTGCAGTTAAGAGATTTTTTACCTCAAGGAAGTAGTGCTCAAAGAACCTTTTGTGTTCTTAACAAGATAGGGACATAACATGTTGTTTCAAGGATCCTCTGATGTAGGATCTTAACAGTTACAAATTTCTAAGCAAACAGCTTTAGTTTCTTGTTACATTCTCAGAACAAATGGCTTGTGGTTCATGTTTATCACTCTTTCTCTTATTATGTTCTCTTATTATCTCCTGTTATATATACCCACAATGGATCTTGGAAACAGCTTGAAGCCTTAATTTTACTGATTCTGTAGAGTTCCCTTCTCTGTGCCTAATCAATGCCATGAGATTTCTTATTTCTTATATTCTCTATTCCCAACTATAGGGTGTGTGTGTGTGGGTGTGTGTGTGTGTGCACGCACGTGCGCGTGCATGTGTGTACAGTTATATATATGTGTATATATAACGTATATAGCGCTATATATATATACACATAGATATACATATCTATGTGTGTATACACACACATGCGTACGCACACACATACACACACACACACACACACACACACACACAGAATACTGTTGAGCCATAGAAAGAAGTTTTCCATAGTTTAAAGCAAACTAATCTTTCTAGCTGTTTTAGTCTGTGTGGAATTGGGGGGGAGTATTTCTGGAATCGCTATAGGGCCTTAGAATCCTCTGTCAGTTCATGGATAAAATGTTCATTTGCCATCTCCCTTTAATGGACTCCATAACTGATATCACTATTCTTGAACATATGAATTATTAAAATCTTGGTATCTCCACTGGTTAGGAAATGGCTGATTTTTGTAAGTGTTGAAGAGCTGATTGAGCACATAGTATTTTCTTAGGTTTTAAAATTTATATTTTTTGTTTCTATATCACTCCATTTCTTATATCTCTACCCTGCCCAGAAAACCACCCATTATAAAAAAAGGGGAGAAAAAAAGCAGTTCAGAAAATTAACCAACACACCAGTCAAATCTGACAGCATATTCAGTGTTCAATATCCATAGTCCCCCTACTTCTGAAAATAAGGAAAAATGGTATATTCTTACATATTTTAGGGCTATACATGGTCGTTATAGTTACACAGCATCAGTTATGTTATTTGTTATTATTGTTCTTTCCATTTATGTTATTTTGTTTTCCTGGTTATGCTTGCTTCACTTTGAATCAGTTTATAGGTTTTCCCATGACTCCTCAAATTCTTCATATTCATCACTGTTTATAGTATGGCAATATTCTATTACATTCACACACAATTTGATTAACCATTGCTCAGTGATGGGCATCTACTCTTGTTTTCAATTTTTTGATACTAGAAAAAGTACTGCTGTAATTATTTTAGCATGTATTGGACCTTTCTTTCCATTATTACCCTCCTTGAGGAATATGCCTGGTAACAGCATCTCTGGGTCAGAAGGTATAGACATTTTAATTACTTTTTTAAAGCATAATTCTGAATTGCTTTCCAGAATAGTTGGGACAGTTCACAGCTCCATCAATACTTCATTAGAGTATATGTCTTTCTACTAACATTGACTATTCCAACTTTTATCACCTTTGTCAAGTTGCTGAATGTGAGGTAAATACTCAAAGTTGTTTTGATTTTGATTTTGATTATTAGTGTTAGGGGCAGGCTTGACATCAGCATTCTGTGACTACAGGTTCAATTTTGTGATGAAATAAGGCATTTGTGGATCGTCGAACGATTAACAAAAGGAGGTTTAGTCAGCCTTAACGTAACAAAGACATGTGACTAGGATACAGTAGCACTTAGCTCCCATAGTTACAGTTCCCTTCATCTTCATATGGAGATCAAGGTATGGTGACAGTCATCCACTTACTCTGTGGGTGGGCACCAGTACCATGTGGGTGGGCCTTACACACCCTAGGTGACCAGGAAACCAAATTAGCACAGCCAGGAAGCTTTGTTAGGGAATGCACAGCTAGAGTCTTGCCCCATCCTTGGGCTAATAAATAATAAAGCCCAAGCTTTGTTGTCTTTTAAGAGAAGAATCTAGGCTATCCTATGGTGTAGGGGGCAACCCTAGTAGGTGTTAGTCCTATCCCAGTTAGTGATTTGGAGCAATTTTTCGTATGGTTGTTTATAGTTTGTAATTCTCTTGAAAAATCATTGTTCATATCAGTTGAAGAATGGCTTTTGGTCTTAATATATTTGTATTAGTTTCCTATATATTTTGGTTTTCAGGCCCTTATCAGAGACATTTATTGCTAAGATATTTTTCCAGTGAGTAGCTTCTTTCCTTATCCTAGTTGCACAGACTTTGTTAAAGCAAAAACTTTTAAAAGTCATGTTACCAAAATTATGTTTTATTTTTTGTGATTTCTTGTATCTATTAATTACTTGAGAGTAGGGTTTATTTATTTATTTGTATGTATGTATGTGTCCCTGATACCTAGCACAGTGCCTGGTATTTAGCAGGCACTTAATAAATGCTCGTTGACTAATTGATTGGATCATATAGTTAATAATTCTCCCACTAGCTTTAACTGTGAAAAATATCTGATCTTGTTCTTTTCTAATTTTTAACAGTATAATCTTGTGTTTTCTTATTCAGTCAAGGAATCTTTTAATCTTGCAGCTACAAGGGAAGAACCAGACCCTAAGCATGCTAATGGGTGCCATAACCAACCCTTCCCCAAGTTAAGTAAAAGCCCTAATTTTGTAGTTTTTCACACTGGTTTGAAAAGATGAAAAAATGAGAAAGCATAGTACAGAGTAGAGTACTGTAGGTACAGTTGGGAATAAGTAATATATTAACAGGATATGGTTATGGCACAGTGAGCAGGAGCTTTCCATTATTATAACATAGATGGGAAAGACAGTTTCCCATAGTCCTTCAATGTCTCAACTATACATAGCTCTTTGCAGTTATGATCAAACTCTAGCAATAAAAACTAAGGCTAGAAGCCTGACTCTACCCTACCTTTCTATCCTTATTACAGTAGTTTCACGATGCATAGTGACACTGACAAACTCTCATAAGGCATTCCATTGTCTCCTGCAAGTATAAGGATTTTACTGTGATAGGGGAAAGAAGAGCATTAGCATAATATTAAATTATCCTTTTAGGTCTAAATCTGACGGTTATAGACTGAACTTTCATCGGCATATTGAGACGAGATTCCTCCACTGTGTTTGATCTGGATAAAAAGTCAGAGATCCTTTTGGAAGAGTCAGTTTGTACATTATAACTTTAAAATATTTAAGTGTTATAATAGCCAGGGCTGGAGTCTAACAGAAGTGGATGTTTTCCTATTTAAAATGGAGAAATAGAATAGGGAGTTTTTGCCAGGGGCCTGTCACGGTTGTCCCCTCAACCTTTTTAGCATTCTATATCCACCTGAAACTGGTTTGAATATGAGTATACAACTCAGAATTTCTAGTTGGATGGCCTTTGACATTTTCCCCTTATATAGGGATTTGCTGATATGTCAACATAAACATTTTTTCCAGGATCAAAATGAGGTCACAGCAAAAAACAAATTAAATTTACTGACCGAGGAGAGTCTTTCTTACACAGCAAATTCCAATGGTTATAATTAAAGCTAGATGCAATCATCTTTAAGTTACAACATCAATACTAGCAGATATTGCTACTGGTTTATAGTTGTAATATAATATATGATAGTGACTCAATATATTCACCTTTTATACTAATTAAGCTTGTACAAAGTCTTTCTAAAAGCTTTCATCTGTTCCCTTATCTTTCTAATTTTCCAGCTCTGATTCATATAGACATAACCATATCAAATACCTTTTGTTACACATTCCAAACTAATTCAGTTATCAGAATGAACAATCACAAAAAATAAAATGATACTGGATATCACAAATTAATAATTTAAATACTTCATAGACCAGGAGTTTTTAACTTACAGTCTGC